CGTTTCACTGGAGGGAAAACTGTTAGCCGTAGAATACCTCCCAAAAAGAAGTCAGTCGATCCGCCATGGAAACACACACTGGCGTCTCAAATAAAAGAGCTACGAGCTACAATTGGTCGGCTAATACAGTACATGAACGGAAACCGGACGAAAAAGATGCGTAACTGGTATGAAACTTTTAAGCTCGAAAATAAAAAGCACTCCAAACATGATCCGTCGAATCAAACACCTGAACAATACCTAGATACTATCCGCCAAAAACTAGCTGTTAAGCCAAACCGTTTGCGTAGGTATACTCTATCAGAAAAGAGAAGAACGCAAAACATATCATTTCAGCGAAATTAAAGAGGGTTTTATAGAAACCTTAAACGCAACAAGACTGAAGATATAACCGAAGTACCTAGCGCCGAGCAAATCGAAAGCTTCTGGAAGTCTATATGGTCAACCAGTACCAAACATGCAACCGATTCAGCGTGGATCCACGATGAGTACAAGAGAACGGAATCTATAAAAGCTATGGAAGACGCGACTTTCGGTGAGGCCGATATCAAAAAAGCTGTAGAGAGCACCCAAAATTGGCGGGCTGCAGGGCCAGATGGTATTTATAATTATTGGTTAAAAAAGTTTACATGCACACACAGTATGGTAGCTCAACACTTTACAAAATTCCTCAAACATGAATCCCAAGTACCGAACTTCTTAATGAAGGGATGTACATTAGGCTGGGTCGATTTTGTATGGGGGAAAATAAAAGTCGTTTGACCGCATTGTAATAGTAATATTATGATGTCTTAGGTCTTAGCCAATTGTTATTGGCCACGAAAGATTAATTTAAAACTTATCTTTAGCCCGCGCAATTGCATCAAAGTATACGAATTTTGAAAATGAAACTTTGGCTGGTAATATCTATGGAATGCGTTAATTTTTATAAACCGCGCGATATATCAAATTAAGGGTTATTAAATTTAGTACCTCACGTTCATTTATAATTTTTCAATAAGTCTTAAATTTTAAGATATTAAGATAAAACTTACAAAAACTATAATTTTCCCGTATAGATTTTCAATTCTTCATTACTTCAGGAACCAAGTGAAAAATACAAAAAAGTGAGACGGGATTTATTTCAAACGTTTTAATGTTTTCGGATGTTTATATAGTATTAAAAGGACCATGGACTTGGTCACGCCGATTTGGTCAGTTTTCAAGATCCTGATGAATGAAATGAAATATGTATCGTCAAAGAATAGGAATCGTTTGATAAGTTAATAGTAGTTGCATACATTAACATAATACAGTTAGGGTGGGAAACGCCCATTTTAAGTCCATTTATGCAGTCTTGAAAATTGGTGCGGAATAGTTTTATTAGTCAACGAAGACGCACATTTCTAAATTTGCCGTTATATGAAAGTAGGAGACGTGAAATAATTGTTTAGATATAGTGCATAAGTATTTTAGTTAATTGCATTATGTGAAAAAAGTGTTTAACATATCCTGGGAAATCCTTTTGAAGACTCTCCAATTGGACGATAGTGCTTCGCATTCAGCTTGAACGAAAAAAGGCGCTCCCTGGAACACTTTTCTGTAATCCGGCTCTTTTATCTAAACGTTTTTTATACAATTGAAGATACATTTTTTTAGAAAAAAAACTGGAGATCCACTTAAGTTTTCGATATAACTTTGGTAAATGCTACTCGATCGGCACGTAGTAAGTACCAAATTGAAGGAGAGACTTACTGTTACTGATTTATAGTAATAATATTATAAAAATAATTCAGATTATAAACAAATTGTTTTAAATTAAAAAAAGTGTTGAACATTTTTTTTTGTAATTTGCCTTTATTTGCAATTTTTATATTGTGCATAAACATAAGTAAACTAATTAGTGTTTCTAGAAGTTGTGCCTATTCAGTGTTTCCATACTCACTTGCATAAACCAAAATTTTTCCACGATGATGCAAAATAATGGCTTTTCTATTAGAGCTACCGAAATTGTTCCTAAATTTGCAAAAATTCGCAAACTATAGCTAATATTAAAACAAGATTAGAATATTTGCCACCAGCGACCTAAATGAACGGCAGCAATATTAATGCTGTTCTTTGCATCTTTTGACTATAGGCCAGTGCAATTATCAAGAGAACAATTAAAAATGTATTGAAAAAAGATAACTTTGAGATTAACGATAAGCTTAAGGGCTGCGAAAAATTATATTTGACTTTATCTTTTGCATTAACTGATTCATTATTTAATAATATGCACCAAACCTTTTTGCTGAACCCAGAATTTTTAACAAGAATTGGTCTTATTCGACTAGTGTGCTGTGGGTGACTTGGCGGTCGATGCGCGGGCTCTTAACATTAAAATAAAATACTAATATTTTGCAGGCTTCTTGTTGACTTCATGATATATTATATTTTCACTATTATCAAGGGATTTGAGTAAAATTAGATTTTCGACCCGCCCTAGTGTACATATCTGCTACCAAAGGACCCAAAAGATACGAAGAACCCTTCTAAGTATCGCCCCATCACGTGCCTATGTACCCTATATAAAATTCTTACATCTTGTTTAGCCGAAAAAATATGTACTCATCTTGATACGCACAACATTCTAGCCATCGAACAAAAAGGATGTGTTAAAAACAGAGCAGCTGATAATTGATACAGTCATAATGGAGCAAGCATACCATAATCAAAGAAATATTTATACATCTTATATCGACTTCATAAAAGCCTTTGACACTGTTCCGCATTCTTGGCTCTCGGAGGTTTTAGACATTTATAAAATATCGCCGAACATAAAACGTCTTATGCAGCAACTTATGAACTCATGGAAAGTTACTTTAAAACTATTTCATAATAACGGACTCATAAAAACCGCTCCCATACCTATTAAAAGAGGTATTTTCCAAGGAGATAGCTTGAGTCCGATATGGTTTTGTCTGGCGCTAAATCCACTTTCTTCGATACTAAATGCGACAAACTACGGCTTTAGTTTAAAAGCACCGCGTGTATCGCAATATAGACTTTCACACCTACTGTACGTGGATGACATAAAGCTATATGCTGCAAATGAACGTCAAATGAATACGCTACTGGAACAAACAGAAGATTTTTCAAATGATATAAAAATGTCGTTTGGAGTAGAAAAATGTCGAAGATTAAGTGTGGAAAATGGAAAACTTATAAGGCGAGAATTGGAATTAATGACTCATGAAACTGTAGACTCAATGACAGAAGGCGACACATATAAATACCTTGGTATTTTACAGGCTAGGAGGATGCAGCACAGTGAAATAGTTTCAGCCGTAACTAGTGAATACCTCCAAAGAGTAAAGAGCTTGCTGAAATCATGCTTGAATGGGAATAACCTTTTTAAAGCCATTAATGCATTTGCGATACCGGTTTTAACATACACCTTTGGTGTAGTAAAATGGTCCGAAACAGAACTGGAAAACGTCAAGAGAGCAACAAGGACATTGTTGACAAAGTATGGCACGCATCACCCAAAATCGGCAGTAGAACGTCTCTACTTGCCACGTCGACAGGGAGGTCGAGGGATGGTAGACATTAAGCAATTACATAATAAGTGTAAACAAAGCCTTCGTTTATACTTCCACAACCAAAAGAACAGCCTACTCCAAACCGTGTGCAAAGCCGATTTAAAATATTCACCATTAAATCTTAGTGAATTTTCTGCAATCGAATTAATATCAGGAACGCAACATATCCAGTCGCTCATGTAAGACTGGAAAATGAAAGCGGTTCATGGCAGATATCCACATGCTCTAGACGCTCTGAAGTAGATAACGCTGCTTCCAACGAATGGTTAATTCACTCCGGTATCTACGCCGAAACTGAAGGTTTTATGATCGCTATACAAGATCAAGTTATTGCGACTAGAAACTACTCGAAATATATTATGCGTGCTTCCGTTAAAAACGACCTATGCAGACGATGCCAAAAGCAAACAGAAACCATCCACCACTTCACAGGAGCTTGTGTCACGTTAGCAGCCACCGAATACTTAACCAGACATAACCAGGTGGCAAAAATTGTACACCAGAGTCTAGCGATACAACATAAGCTAGTAACGGAAGAGCTGCCGTACTTTAAATATACTCCAGACGCTGTAATTGAAAACAGAACGAGCAAGCTATATTGGGACCGATCAGTTTTGACGGACCGTCCAATGCCACACAACAGGCCGGACATAATAGTGGTCGAAAAAGAAGTGAATCGAGCGTTTCTCATAGATTTAGGCGTACCAAATACTCACAATCTTCAAGATTGTTATATGGAGAAATACAGAAAATACCAGAGCTTAGCAGACGAGAGGTGATTCCAGTTATAATTTCGACAACAGGAGTTATTCCAAAATCATTGAACACTAGCCTGGAAAAACTCAACATGGTAGAAAAGCGAAGGGCCATACAAAAATCTGTGATATTATCTACATCATCGATAGTTCGTAAATTTCTGAAAATAAATTAGCATTAAGAAACAGAAAAACTTGCAACTGTGTAGTATTGTCAATATCCGTTTGTAACCAATCTGTAGATTATATTTCTCTTATACTACTTTATAATCAATAGTGTTAAGTATTTTGTTGTATACCAACCAATACTTGATGTGAACCCGTAACGGAGAAACAATAAAAAATAAAATAAAATAAAATAAAATAAAGTAATATAAAAAAAAATAAAATTAAATTAAAAGAAATAAAATTAAATTGAACAAAATAAAATAAAACATATTTAGCAAAAAATTTTGTTTAATAAATAAATAAATTAAAATAAAACAAAATTAATTCAATAAATAAACCAAATAAAAAATATTTTACGTAAAATAAAAAAAAAACTTTATTTAATGAATTAAACGAAATGGAATGGGATGAACTGAAATGATTGAGTTATTGAATTGAAATGAAATAGAATGGAGAGATTTGGAATGAATTGAATGGATGAAATGAAATGGAGTCGCATAAATGAAATTGAATAGAAAGGAAGAAATGAAAGCAAATTGAATACATTGGGGTAAAACGAAATGAAATGAAATAAAGTGAAGTGGACTAGTTTGGAATGAAATAAAATGGGAAAATATGATATGAATTTCAATGACTTGCAATGCCATTCAATGAGGTGGAATGAGATACATATATTGAAACGAAATAAAACTACATGAAAAGAAATGGAATGAATTGAAATTAAACAAATTTAAATGAAACTGTATGAAATGAAATGAAGTGAACTTAAATGAAATGAACTGAGATTAAACAAAATTGAATTGAAAATCGGGATTAAAACGAATTAAAAAGAGTGGAACGAAACGAAATTAAATGAAACAAAAATTAAATGGAACTTAGTGAAATACAACAACGTTTGTTGAAATTCTATTAAAACAAATTTTAAAATTGCCATTTTTCAACACTTCCAACATTTTTTTCTCAAAAACTGGACGTGCTAGAAAAATTTTGCAAATGCACTTGAAATCGGCATTAAAAAATCTATATTTTGTTCAACCGTGTAATCAATATGTACGACTTTAATTTTGGAACGATAGCGATCGATATACTTTTTTATCGCCAAATTTAACAATAAATATCATTATCGACTTATTTATCGATACATTTGAAAGAAAATAATAAAAACGAATCAAATAAGACATAATATATCTATTAAAAAAAAAAACATTCTTCATTAACAAACAACTACACAATTAATTTTATGAAAATTTCTAAACCCACCACTACACACCACCACCAAAATTCACTCACCTGGCAGCCTTGGTGGACGGGGCTGTTCAACCGGAAGCACTCTTCTCCGTTTCTTCGGCAGTTTGGCTCGTGCTTGCGTGTGCGAGTAGTACATGGCAAAGTTGCTCACAATGACGGGTACGGGCAGTGCGATCGTTAGCACACCGGCAAGCGCACACAATGCGCCCACAAACATACCAATATAGGTCTTCGGCACCATATCACCATAACCGACGGTGGTCATTGTGACCAGTGCCCACCACAGACCCAACGGAATACTATTAAAATCATTATGCGGATTCGGTTGTATACGTTCCGCATAGTAAACTAGGCTTGCGAAAATCACAATGCCCAATACGAGGAAAAACACCAGCAGCGTGAGCTCTTTTGCCGATGCACGAAACGTTTGTATTAGAATTTTAAGGCCGGACGAATGGCGCGTCAATTTAAATAGACGCATAATACGTATTATCGAGAAGAATTCTAATATGTCGGCATTCTCTAGATGTGAGGCGAACCGTTGAAGCACAAGATCGATATAAAAACTAAGCGTTGCTATATAATCTATGATGTTAACAGATGACTTTATGAATTCACATTTATTTGGCGAGGATATGAATCTAACCTAAAAAAAAAACAAAACGGGAGAAGGAAAATACATACACATTTGTTATTAGGGAAGATGTGGTGAATAGAGTGAAGAAGAAATATTATAGTACACATAAAAGGCATTAGAATTGTACAAATAATGTATGTGTGTATGTTTTAATGTTTAAGGAAAGTTTACAATTTACTGCTTAACTGACAAGGGGATACCTATCTAGATGTAGTTTCAATATTTGCGATAAGGAAACAAAAGGTATCGAGATACTGAGCTTCAAAGACAACACGGCGTGTCACAGCTCATTAAGTTGAGATACAGTAGCTCAGGAAGACGATGAGGAATAAATTTAGCATTTTCTTCTGCCCTGCCCTGCTTTCCCTCTGCGATAGCTTTGGTATTCTCAAACTATGGTAGTTTAGAGCATACCGAAGATTTATTTTGGAATACCAGCCGCCCTCTCATCGTGTCCAGACTCAATATCATGTGGTAGTACTTCGCCTTCTTCCTATCTCTAAACCTATTTTATGAAGAAAGATTCCTTACTCCCTTCACTCACGAGTTCGGAGAGTGCTCTCGATCAGAGATTAGAACCACTCAAGGCAATAGGTAGCCTTGACTATAAGATTTTGGCGCCCATAAGTACTGAAATCGCAGCATTTTCATGAAAAAAGTTCAAAGATTTTACCGGTGATCGGAAGCGTAGACAGACGACGTAAAACCTGAAAAGCCGAAAGAGTAGGAAAAAGTGTGGTACAACAACGGTAACCATGTGCTTCAGCTATCCTCCCACAAAGTAGGAAGTGTATGTGCTCCTCTCATGTCCATTGATGCGCTATAAATACTTATCCCCTTTCCACGTGAAATGGCCTCACTCTCTAGAAGAAGGTGTAATAGCGTATTCTTGACAGAGCCACAGAAGCGACATAGGTTGCTTGACCATATACCTAGAATATGGCTGGGCTCTTCAAAGAGGCCGTAATGATCCAGGTTTCTTCCTCGGGACACCCATGAGCAGCCTGTATATTTTCAGATTGTACCCTCCTAGTTTAGTTTAGTTAAGTTATAGTCTAGGACCATTGAGGATTTGACCTCGAAGCATGAAAGAAACCTTAGTGCTGCCTACTGAACACTTAAAATTAGAATCCTCTTACTTCTATAATTCCTACAAAGGTTGATCACAGCACACAGACTGATGACCGCTTGAAAGTTCCCCAATAAAATCAGAAGACTTAGAGCCGCCTGTATACCACTGTAGTGTGCTCGCCTGAACGTGTAGAAGAGTAGTCCTGGTAGTCCAAGCCACTGCCCCATAGGTTACTTTTGGTCCCACTATCATGGAGTACATCCATCTATGGATCCTTGGAGTGCATTCCCAGGTTTTCCCCGCTAGAAGTTTACATACCATCAGCGCTCTCGTAGAGAGGTGGCCGCCTCAACAGGCGTCCACCAGTGGAGTTTGGACTCCAGAATAAGTTCTATATACTTAACTTCTGTGGCGGCACCGACCGCAACCCCATCCAAGGTTAAGTTCCTCATCCCCTTAACAGTTACTTTCTTGGTCAGAAGGACGATGGCTGTCTTAGAGAGATTGATATTTAAACTAACATCCGTTTCCGGGCTGCAATTCTTTAAGAAATACGCACCATCTGCTATCAAGATTAAGCAAACCTAAATATTAGCCCAACCTTCTTTCTTGCAAAGACGTTGGAACGGTAAGGTGGACAGTTTTGTGAATGAACCCCCCTGACATTGAAATTAATATATTCGCCAAGCAGGGATATTGACTTTTTGTGCTCTGCAGAATCTCACAGAAAAGTTATGGCAATCGCTGGAGAGCAAATAGTTTTGTATAGTTTGCTTTCTAGATATGAATAGAAGAGCCACCGACAACACGTAGCGCTCTCGCCGCTCCTCAAAGCTGGAGCTATACCGCCTACTTTAGCGCAGGAAGTAGTTAGGTTCGTATCCATGAAGGATTACCCACAGGGCGGAGGTATAAAAGATGGGATTTTTATAGTCCATAGTTTTAGATGATTTACTTTGCCTATTTAACGATAAATTCGAAATTCCTACATAACGGCGTTCCTCGCCTTAGAGGCACATGAAGTTATCCCCAAGTTGGTATAAGACTGCCTTAAACTACTAATGGGCATCGCATTTGTTAAGATATCTACCACATTTGAGTTCCTGGTCACAGTGGTGGCTACATGGGCAATGAGGTGGTTGATATTCTAGCCAGGAAATGCGCAGCCGCAGAATACTTTCTTAATCTGCTGTCTAAGGGAAAACTATAATAACTAGATGAAAAAGGTTACACAAAATGACTGGAAGAATTCAAAAGGTAACAGACAGATAAAAGCTTCAATTTCTGATATATCAGCTAGGAGAACCAAAACACTCTTTCACTTCGATAGCCATGACATTTAAGTACCGTTACAGGCTTTCGTTTTCGGGGTGGCAGAGCGCTCGAGTCATCTGTCACGAAGAAAAGAATATAACACAACACATAATGTCCCCCGGTGAAGCTGCCACCACACCCTGATTTCGTGTTTGTCCCTTAGCGCGTTTTCTCAGTACAACGGGAATCAGTGAAGACATGTAACTCAAAAGAGAACTTTTCCGATTGATCCAATTTGGTAGCGGTAATTAGATGCCTTGCCTTAGCCTGAAAGTTCATTCGAATCTAATCTAAGTTTTCTTCTAGAAAAGTGGTCCCACAAATATTTAATAAGTCCTTCGACAGTGCCGAAATCTGATTAAATCACCTATAACTCAAATCGATAACTTTTGATTCACGAAACGCAAATTTTTATTGAACTTGTATGTGTCCAGTGTATGTACCTGCTCGTTTACAGTGAATGTGTCTAACTATAACAAGGATTAGCTTAAGCACAGAATAGATAGTTTTATATGTAACAGATGATTTTAGTCGTGTACCTAAATTGTCTACCCTAATTCACATCTATTGTACCTGCATCTCACTAACATCAATATAATACAATAGCTTATCTAAAATCATACATTTATACAAACAAACTTTCCACAAATCCATTTGCCTTAACTCACCAGTATTTCGAACGTGAACCAGGCATTACAAACACATTCGATATAAAAGAAAGCTATATGCGCATTTGTTTGTGGCTTATCGATATACCAAGCCATATTACCATTGGCCGTATTCACCGATGTATTAACGAGGTATGGCACACGCATATCGGGATGTGTTTTCAGGCAGAATGATAATATGGATACACAAATGAAGAATACCGAAACGACACCGATTGTCTGTAAAATGTAAGAAAGATAATGCCATTTAATTTATGAATGTTTGAGAATTGTATGGATTGCATTAATCATTTAGAATTATTGGATCTTGCCTTGGCCGCATTCGAACTGTACGGCTCATCGAAGAGCGACCAGATGCGCGGCTTCATTTCCTGCCACCAAGACAATGTACCCTTGTAGTAGTCCTCCTCGAAGCCGAATTTACGCGCTAATTCCTCTTCGGACGGTTTTTCTGTATCTAAATCCAGACGATCTAATACCGCCAATGTCTCTTGTGTGTCTCTATGCTGTAAATAAGAAAGAGATAATTAGAGATGTTTTCTCTATTTCACAAAATTTCATATTCCGTTGGAAGTGTAAGTCTCGAAAGCTGCTGAAAGGATTTGTGGGTGAAATTTTAAAATATAATCTGTGGTAGAAAGAGGTGAGAAGACGATCATTTTGGCTGATTACTGAGGAGACAGGTATTCTCTTATATATGTATGGTGTAATATTTTGAGTATCCAGTAATTTTTCAGAAAGTCGTAAAGCTTAAACAGACGGCAGCGTTGATCCGGATTAAGTCGGACTTGATCCGGATCAACTGCAGTTAATTCCTGAGTGGACCCGGATCAACGCTGCCGTCTGTTTATGCTTTTAGAAGATCAAGACTTATACAAAAGTTTGGGCTCATTCTTATATAGATATCCGACTGAAGCTGGGAATTGGTTACGCCTGCCTTGAACTTCTTGTGATTTAAAAACATTAACGGAAAAGAGGTCTCAATGAGTTGGACAGAAAATGATGTTGTATGTCTTTTCTGAAACGGCTTTAATGATTTTGATGAATTGATGTTAATGTTTTGCATTTTAAGGTTATCTAAATAGGTGTTATATTGAGAATATTCGTATAAGGTTGCCACCTATACGAAATTATAAGCAAATTAAATAAAACATCATAATGTGGACAACAACTGAAAGGTAATTTAAAAGTAACCGATTTTGAGGTATTTTTGAATAGGGTTGCCATCTATTATCCATCGTATATTTATTTAATTTATTATTTACAAAGTTAGGATATAATATTAATATTCATTGGCACTAAAAGAAAGCTCTTAAACAATACTTTGCCTAAATCGGAAGTTTTAGCGCTCAGCAGATTAGTAAAGTTGCCACTTATTTCCGATTCTGCAAAATTTAACTAAAAATTTTTGATGTGGATATAAAATGCAAGGTATTTTTAAGAACTTTAATACAGAAATATTTTTTATTTTTTCTCAATCAAAATTTTTATGTTATTAATTAACCATACCGAATCCTTGATCTCCAATTTAATATTTAAAAGCTTTAAAACAGCAACCAAAAATAACCGTAAAATAGCAAAATTTGTATTCTAAGTTCATTTTTATTTTAATTTTTTTTCGATAAAAAATAATTACTAAATTGGGATTTAACATTTTCGGTCAAATTTAATAGTTATTTTGTAATTTTTTTTATTTTTCGATACAAAATAATCGCAATTTTGGACTTATATATTTTTCGATAATTTCTAACTGTTATAATGAAGACTTCGTTTTATATGACCATTTTTAAATTTTTTATTATTTTAAAAATTATATCCGAAAATAAAGATTGTGGTATGATCAAAAAATAAAATCACAAAATAACGATTAATTTTGACCGAAAAAAATAAATATCTAAATTAAACGATTATTCGAAGGTGAAAAGAATAAAAATTGTAATATAAAATTAATGTTAACGTTTAAATTATGGGTTTGATTACACGCGGGAAGGAAAGAACGAAAAAAGTTATTTTCTAGCTGCCGAAATCTCGACGCCATCTTTGTTGTAAGAAGTAAACAACGAAGAGAACGGAGAAAACCGCGAAATTGTTGAACGCATGAAAAAATCATTTTTATTATGCAAATTCTTCTATAAATCGTGCCGTTGTGTTATATTATTCTTTACCTTATGTGTACACACGTTGTCACAGGCGAAAAAGAAGAAAATTGCAGTAAAAAGCCACGACCAAATTGTAAACAATTAAGAAATGTAAACAAACGGCTATTGTCAAAATCGTTAAACTTTTTTACTAAATGCGATTCTAACGGGCTACTCTCCTGCCCGCGTGATCTTGTATTTTTGGTTCATGACCGTTATGGTCCCTGCTTTAAAAGGTATTTGCACTCCGAGCAAAGCTCGGTACTGATCTTAAGAAAATTTGTAACGGTCGGAGCTATTCTTACCCCTAAGAAGATTTGTTATTTTATTGACTACAATCTGCAAGGTTTACAATGAACACATTCGTGTGATCTTAGCTATTCAAAAACAGAAAGAATTTTCTGAAAGCCATATAAAAATTGTGTACACTCTTTAGCAAGCCTAGATTTTTGTTAAGTTAGACCAGGTTCTTACAGCGAGGAACAAACAGAGGAACAAATCTAGTAGGGCCTTAAGGCGTATCGGAAAACAAGTATCGTTTTCTACACTCAGAAAAAAAGCATTTCCTTAAATCAAGAAAACAGTATCCCTGTTCTCGATTTTTATCAGGGACCAAAAATAACTGTTATCTCGAATTTACTAATTGAAAACGTTGCCCGAATTCTGAAATTTAACGAAAACGTTGTTTCATACAGTTTTTAGATGAGAAATATGTTTTCCGTTGCCGATAATAGTTATGTCCCAACGTTTATTTTTTACGTTGCCAATAACTGTTATTATTTTCGTTGCCCATAAGAGTTATTTCCCTACGTTTATTTTTTACGTTGCCGATTAGAGTTATTTCCCAACTCTTATTTTTTACGTTGCCTGATAACTATTATGCAATAGAAATATTTTTTCCGTTGCCAGTCTATACTATCTTCTATACTAATTATATAAAAAGAAGTCCTTTTTTTTTGTAACGGGTAGTCTCGCCAACGGCTGATACGATTTTTTGATGAAATTTTGTGTATAAATAGCTTTCAGCAACCACCATGTTAGGCCTACGAAAAATTTACTTTTTTCCCGCTAGGTAGACCAGGGACCGATCTATTCGAAAAAATCGTATTATTGTCCGACTTGCTTAAAATTTGGTATGAAGGTATCTTTTTGCCTAGATTAGCATACAGGATCCCTTTTTCCGGGAAGTGGACCAGGGACCGATCTATTGGAAAAAATGGTATTTATGATCCGATTTGCTTAAAATTTTGGTACGTAGGTAGCTTTTTGCATAGATTAGGATATCGGATCCTTTTTTCCGGGAAGTGGACCAGGGACCAATCTATTCGAAAAAATCATATTTATGGTCCGATTTGCTCAAAATTTGGTACGCAGGTAGCTTTATGCCTAAATTACCATATAGAATCCTTTTTTTCCGGGAAGTGGACCAGGGACCGATCTATTCGTAAAATCGTATTTATGGCCCGATTTGCTTAAAATTTGGTTTATAGGTAGCTTTTTGCCTAGATTACCATATAGAATCCTTTTTTTCCGGGAAGTGGACCAGGGACTGATCGTTTCGAAAAAATCGTGTTTATGGCCCGATTTGCTTAAAATTTGTTTTACAGGTACCTTTTTGCCTAGATTACCATATAGACTCCTTTTTTCCGGGAAGTGGACCAGGGACCGATCTATTGGTTAGGGCCTTTGTGAATTACGATATATACATCTTCGGTACGTATAAATTTCAATGTAGCTTTTCAAACAGGCGGCAACCCTCCTTCATGCAGTTTCGAAAACCCCTGTCAAAACTATTTCGGTTTATACCCATGATGAAGTAATTCATTTAACTTATAAATAAATTTTAAGCTAGATTTTTAACAGGTGGCAACCCCTTTAATTTGACACCTCACTTTTGAAAATCGAACGAACGGTGCAGATCTGATGGCATTCAAATTATATACTTATATAGACTGGCAACGGAAAAAATATTTCTATTGCATAATAGTTATCAGTAACGTAAAAAAAAACGTCGGGCAGTAAGTGCTATCAGGCAATGTAAAAAATAAGCGTTGGGAAATAACTCTTATTGGCAACGTAAAAAATAAACTTTGGGCAGTAGCTGTTATGGGCAACGTAAAAAATAAACGTTGGGAAATAACTCTTATCGGCAACGTAAAAAATAAACGTTGGGCAGTAACTGTTATGGGCAACGTAAAAAATAAACGTTGGGAAATAACTCTTATGGGTAACGTAAAAAATAAACGCTGGGCAGTAACTGTTATGGGCAACGTAAAAAATAAACGTTGGGAAATAACTCTTATCGACAACGGAAAAAATATTTTTCATCTAATAACTGTTATAGATCAACGTTTTTGCGATAAAACTTATAACTGTTATGTCCCTGATTTTTACTGTTTTTTCCTTAATATTACGAAAAATTTACTGAACTTCAGAAATTTTTGCTTAATTTAAAAATAAAGTGCCATTAATTTGAAGAAGTAAATTTATTCAATATAAGTAATAATTTCCTCAATATAAGTAATAATTTCCTTAAATAATTTTGAGTTTTGTCAGTGCTGTTTAGACAAAGTTAATTGCTTTCCTGTCAAATGTCGGCTGTGGCGTCGCGTGCAGACTACTGATTCTGGTTCGGAGATCGCAGGTTCGAATCCGGTTGGAGGTGGTTAGAGTAAAGTAAGTCAATTATTTCAATTTAAATATAAATTACAAATTTTAAAATTAATTTCATATATAGAAAAACCTAAATACTCAAATGCCATAACAAATAAATTAGATAAATTTGTTTTTTAAATACAATTTAAAAAATTACAGTAAAAAAATAAATAAGAAATAAATAAAAAATTAAAAAAATAATCCTGCTGTAGGACTCGAACCTTGCATCTCTCGACTAGCACTCCAGAGCTTTGCCCTGTCTACCATTGTCACTGTTTGAGCGTCGCGAGCAAAATGACATACTTATTCCTTTCACGGGGGATGAAATGGCAAGTAAATTTTTCTTAAAAACTAAGCAATTCTATTTTCCTTAATAATAGAATGATATACTTTTTTCCTAGCATTAAGGAATGTTTCTTCTGAATGCAGGTCAACTATGGCTCCGATTCAAACAATATCAAGGATTTGTTAGGCTAGTTTAACAACAATCCGGATTTGTATAATTATACCTTTCATGAGCATGAAATGGTATTATAACTTTGGTCCGATGTTTGTAAGTACCAGAACAAAAAGAGATAGACCCATGAAAATGTATACTTATATGATCAGAACGTCGAGCTGAGTTGATTTAGCCATGTCCGTCTGTCCGTCTGTCTGTCTGTTTGTATGCAATCTAGTCTCTCAGTTTTCGAGATATCCGGATAAAATTTGGTAGGTGGGTGTATTTTTATAATGTATTAATCATTTGTCGGAACCGGAAGAATCGGACCACTATAACATATAGCTCCCATACAACTGATTGCTCAGATATGAGATTTTTCATTATAACTTATCCATTTATGCAGCTACGAACATGAAATTTTGCAATACTTGCACCCATTATCAACAGAATACTTACAGTGAAAATTACAAAGATCGGGTCACTATAACCTATAGCTCCCATACAACTGATTGTTCAGATATAAAATTTTGCGTTATAACTCCTCCATTTATATAGCTAGGAACATAAAATTCCGCACTGTTTTCACTAATTATCAACAGAAAACTTACAGTGAAAATTAAAAAGATCGGGTAACTATAACCTATAGCTCCCATACAACTGATTGTTCAGATATGAGATTTTTCGTTATAATTCATCCATTTATGTAGCTAGGACCATGAAATTTCGCGCTGTTTTCACTCATTATCAACAGAATACTTACAGCGAAAATAACAAAGATCGGGTCACTATAACCTGCAGCCCCCATACAACTGATTGTTCAGATATGAGGTCTTTTATCATAACTCCTCCATTTATGCAGCTAGAAACATGAAATTTCGCACCATTTTCACTCATTATTAACAGAATACTTACAGTGAAAATAGCAAGGATCGGGTGACTACAACATATATCTTCCATACATCTGATTGTTCAGATATGGGATTTTACTGTAAAACTCCTTTATTTGAACAGCTAAAACCGATAAATTTCGTAAGATATTTTATAAATAATAATACAAAGTCTACTGAGAAAATCGTCAAAATTTATGCTGTATAAGCTTTATCTCCTATAGCACTGATTGTTAAGATACCAGTTTTTGCCATATATCTCCTTTATGTACGAAACTAAACCCAATAAATTGTGTTACCGGTTTACATACCGATCACATAGCGGTGAAAATCACTTAGATTGGTGTCATATAAAGTATATCTTCCATACCTCTGATTGTTTAGTTGCGATTTTTTATATAAGTATGTAACTCCTCTATCGATGTATGCAGATGTATTCAAAAGCAGTAATCTGTCAAAGTAAAATTTGCAGATGTTCATGAAAGGTATGAAGCCTTCGGCATAGCCGAAGACAGCGCTGCTCTTACTTGTTTTTGAATAATAATAAACCCCCAAAATCTTAGTTAAGTTTAATCGTATACTCACCTGTGTATAAGTCATCCCAAAATCTTAGTTAAGTTTAATCGTATACTCACCTGTGTATAAGTCATCCAACAACACGGCTCTACTTGATTCGAATCTAAGCCCCAAAACTCGAGTTCTTCTTCGAACAAAGGCCCGCAAACGTCTGTTGGATAGTGCAGCTTGCCGGTTCTAGAATGTGAAAGGCAGTAAGTAATTTATTTTTATTTTTTGTTTTGATTCTTCGACTCCTTCCCTACTCACCTATAGTAGTTTAGTACTTGAGCAAAGACTCCCGGATGTCGATCGAAGAAATATTCGTTCAATATAGGATCGTAATTGGCTAATGCCTCGGTGAGGCGTGACAATCTTGTGGCGGGTATTTTCTTCAATGTCGCCTTATACGTTTCGTGCCGAATGCCGCCCACATTCAGCACGACCCGATTTTCCGAATCCATATTTATCAGATTCATAGCTGCATGCGAGTAGTGCATATTTTTAGGTAAGAATTTCATTTGTGAGCTTTGGTAGGTGCGTGTCTGATGGTGCCTCATAAAAACCGAATAATTTGTTAATGTTTGATAGGGGAAGAAGGTGTGTATGTAGGTGTTTTTGCAAAAATGTGCTTGCCTGTATGTATGTAGATATGTACAGTGGTTGGTTTTGGGGATAGGTATGTCTTTCAGTATACGTGTGTGTGTCTGTGTTTAAAAGGGTTTGTAAGGATTGCAGTTTTTGTTTTCTTTTTCTAATTATAAATCAATTTTGTTGATTATTGCCGACCTTTCAGTTGTTATTGTTGTGCTTTCCCCTCACGTTTTTCAGTTTTACTGTGCCACCTGCGTGTGATAACAAATTCTGTGTGATGCATGTGTAGATTACCGGAGTTAGTTCAGCTAGTTTTTGGCATTGCCGTTGAATGATATCACCAGCGTTTAACATATCATCTGTGAAGAGAGAGAAATTGGTGTGAAATTACTTAAGAAGTGTATATATATATATATATATATAAGATGAATTTACGAAAATATATCTGCAATGCATTGCTCACAAAAATAACAAGTATGTAATATCAAATACATTTTTTTCATCAGCTTGAACTTGTCAGCAGAGGGAACCAGCTGAGAGCATTGAATTTTTTGAGCCTTAAGATTAAATTTGATCATAAACTTCTTGAAAATGTATTAATGAATTCTACTGTCAACATCCACCAGTTTACTTCAACAAAATTTCAATTGCTAATCCAATTGAAGGCATTTACCCAAGACCCTATCAAAAAAAAAGTTGTGTATGGATCCCACGCCCGACTTAAGTGAAACTTCTTCCCATTTCCCGTATGGCTCACGATGTTATATGAGTATTTTTCGGCATAATAACTCAATCTCAATCTTAATTTAAATCTCACTCTTAATCTTAATCCCAATCTTAATTTCTCTCCGTCTTAATCCAAATCTTAATCTTAATCTTAATCTTTATCTCAATCTCAATCTAAATCTAAATTTTAATCTTAATGCAAATCTTACTGCTACCCTTCTCAATTTTTATCTTAATCTTAATCCCAATCTTAATCCTAATCTTTGTCTTAGTCTTAATCTTCATCTTAATCTTAATCTTAATGCTACCCTTCTGAATCTTAATCTCAATCTCAATCTTAATCTTAATATTAATCTAAATCTAAATCTAAATCTTAATCTTAAACTTAATTCAAATCTTAGTGCTACCCTTCTACTCAATCTTAATCCCAATCTTAATCCTAATCTTTGTCTTAGTCTTAATCTCAATCCTAATTTTCATCTTAATCATAATCTTAATCTCAATCTTAATGCTACCCTTCTAAATCTTAATCTAAATCTTAATCTCAATCTCAATCTTAATTTTAATCTTAATCCTAATCTTAGTCTTAATTTTAATCTCAATCTAAATCTTAATCTTAATATCAATCTTAATACTACCCTTCTTAATATTAATCTCAATCTTAATCTTAATCTTAATCCCAATCTTAATCTTAATTTTAGTCTTAATCTTAATCATAATCTTAATCTCAATCTTAATATCATTCTTAATCATAATTTTAAACTTATTCTTAATTTCAATCTTAACCTTAACATTAATATGAATTTCAATTTTAGTCTTAATCTTAAAATTAAACTTAATCTGAAATACTGAAACTTCTCATACGGGCTCTCTAGAATTCTGGAAGATCTCCCAGCATACTTCAAGCGCCTGGCTACACAGTCGCGCCCACTAGATCGCGGAATCATTTCCAAACAAGGGATCAATGGGAGGAGGATTCAGTCCTGATCTCCTACTCTGATTCAGCAGCCTTCGATGGCTCCAAGTTAGATCTGAAGGTAGGGAGTGGGGTGTACTCGCAAAAACTCTCTCTTAGCCACAGTTTCTATTGGCCAGACCTCTGTAGGCTGATCTGACGGCTGATCGATTCGTATATTACTTTATTTGCAGGAGCTATTTCTGACAGCCAGGCGGCTATCAAAGCACTTAGTTGTGACAAATCGACATCGAAGATGGTCATTGAATGTAGACATACTCTAAGTGAGCCGGTCATGAGATGTTTCACTCATGTCGTATGGGTGTCAGGCCACAGAGACATACCGGGAAACTGTCAAGCCGGAAAAAATCTTTATCGAAAGGGCAAACAAATGATGGACTATGGAACTCACATGCAGGATAGCTAGACATATTTGGCCTAAGTTGGATAAACGCAAATCTCGGCTCTCCTCCGACATGTAATTGGAGTTCACACCGGGCACTGCCAGACGGGAACCGCGCCATTAGAGTGGTTATGCAGTCAAATGACTGGTGTCTGGCTGGAGGATATCGAAAGCGTAGAGCACTTTGTGACGCCCGCTCCTTCACTACTCTTTTCAATATTTGGCTGAACTGTATTCAGTTTGTATCTACGATGTTGTGCGCTTCTTCAGAGCAACAAAGGGTTTTCATCTAAGGTGAGAGCAGGGAAGTAATGAGGCTCTAATATGGCCCATGGAGGCCTAATTGTGTCCTTTTCTAGTGCTGTATGAGGACAGGTAGGCTAGTAAATAACTTGCAGATGACGTATTCAGAAGAATGATACTATTTCTGTTAATGCCAATGAGAAAGCCATTTGTTAGTTACAAATCACCCGGCATCGCGTCATCTTAACTCTCGACCTACTGAAAGAACTACCAATACTAAAACCAATTCAGAGAGCGGCCATTAACCTCTAGTAGACACCCTTTGAAGCCTATAAGCTTCTGGTATATCTTACAGAAATCCGAAATTCTCGGCATCCTAACATGCATACAAAGAATGAAAAAATATGAACACAGCTTCTTCCTTCGAGGATCAGTTGGATGCGTAACAGTTTGAAAGGAAGATTTGAGGTGATACCAACTCGTAAAAGTTGGATATCTCTCAGCCGTCGCTCCTCTGAATATTGGAGTGTTTTTAGGCATTAACTAAATATGGCTATCTTGAAGCCTGCATCCCTGTTACATTGTAAAACAATTCCTATTGAAAATATCTATAAGTACATTTTTAGCGAGAACCAAGCGGCTGTTAAATTCCGGAGAAAACTTTTGATTCGCCACAGGTATTCTCCTAACAGCACGGTCCATTTTTTATTTTTTCCATGAAATGATAAAAATCGATTAATTTTCCATGAAAACTGTTAATAATAACCTCTTTCTGTTGAAAATTCCACTTTGTTTTAAAATATTAGCGAACTCATAAACAAATAATAATGCAAAAGCATTTTAACAACAAATTGAAATATGATGAAAGAATTAGGCGCCCACATTGCCATCACCGCCGATTTTAAAATACCAATTGTTTACAATTTTGAGAAAAAAAAACTTGTAGCCTTGCGTAAATAATTTCAATCGCTTGCTGCATATTAGTTTTCTATAATGACGAATAAAATTTTCGCCATATTTCATTGTTTCGTGAATTTTGTTATTCATCTTAAAAATTTCTTTATAATTGGTTTTTAATTTTTTTTTTAAATTTGAAATTTCCGTTTTTCATGTTTGAATTTTGCTGTTTGTTTTTCTTTTTGTACTTGCGTACTCGTTGTACTACAAGTGTAAATTTCCTTTTATTATTGAACTAAATCAGCGCAAATTATGGATTTATGTACGTACAAGAAAACAGCGTCCACGCACGATTGACTAAGTCAATTGAGTGAAACAATATTTTGGGAAACACTCTAAAGCCGACTAGGCAAACGGGAGAGAGCCGCAGGAAAGAATCAACAAAACTGTCAGAATAATAAATAAACAACCAATCTGAAAAGTTAAACATGCAAAATACACACTGCCATTGATTAATAACAAATGACGAGCCACTTTTGTGGAGATGAGGAGTGGCGAAAGAGGCAGCGAAAGCGAAAAGGAGGAACAGAAAAAAAGTAAAAATTAAAAAAAATAAACGCTTTATTTAGAAGGTGAACACAGGCGCTTATACATATATATAAACTAGCAAACACACACACCCAAGTATGGAGTGTCCATTCGTGTATGCATAAACAATCGTTTTTGCATACATATACATATGCCCATGTGCATGTACACGCCGCTGGGTGCATCGCTTGAATATTGTTTACCTAAATAGTCAGAAAACGAAAATTTTAATTTATGAACAAAATAAACAAGTTGTGTGTGTTGGCCACACTACATAATCCCTGTAGGGAAACCGGGGACTAGTGAATCAAATTTCTAGTTCCGTACTAAGTCTTTATCGATAGGAACTAGATCCCCACAAGTCCAAAATCTGCGAAAAGTGGTACTTTTAAAAAACTAATTTTTTCAGTTTTTTTCACTAGAAATCTATATCTAAAGTGACGAATTTTGAAATGGTTCGGAACTATAGAAAAGGGGATGCAGAACGAACTAGATCGTATTTGTCGAATTTAGAATTAGTTCGGAACTATCGAATAAGGGATGCAGCAGGGGGCTTGTTTACTTTACATAGATATGTGTTCGGCGGCTTTTTCGTTCAAATACGCTTCTATTATGTGCTTCGCAGATGCTTTTTCATAGCTTGGTAATACAAAACAAAGCTTTGTATTAACATATTAACATCTTGGGACAGTCTGGAATCTAAGAAATAACAGCGAGTACCTCTGCAAACTCAGCTAAAGCTAAAGGTATGTAAAGGTACATTTCTTACAATCATTCAAACAAATTTAATTTCAAATTGAAAACACATTTCTTCCAAAATAACTTAAAATCGCACACATGGAAGAACCAAAAAGATTGAAAAATCGTGATACTTTTTTCTTTCGTCTGTCGATTTTAGAACTGATTCGGAACTATAGAATTTAGCACTAGTTCGGAACTATCGAAAAAGGGTTGCAGCGGGGGGCAATTGACACTTCCTAGGACATCGCCATGTTAAATTCGCCAGTTGCTTGCATGCAAAAGAGATTTATCGCGAACCAGTACTGGGTCTAAATGTACCAGAAGCGCACCAGTTCAGGACTAGAGATTTTCCCCACAGGGATATTGCTGGAGCGCTCACGAGCAAGCATATATTTACACATGTACATGGATTGACACATGCATGCACAAATATTAATTTTTGTTTGCATGGGGGTACGTCGCCTGCAGGGAAATCTAAAATTGAAGAGAAAATAAATCTAGTTTACCATCAAATGCAGAGAAAATTTGCAAGAGTGGCTTCCTTACATCTCCCACGTTGTACTGACAGTTTCTAAGCATATCCAGTGTTGCCATAAAGAAAAATTTTTCTTATAAAACTTCTTACTAAAATAGATCGTGACCAATTAAAATTTTAACTCCACTTCTCGATTGTTTAACAGGGCAGTTCTCGCAACTGTCCTTCAATTCACCACAGTCTTTCAACCGATAAAAATATTTTTAAAGATTAAATAAAATTAAAATAAATGGTTTTTTCACCTTTAAACAATAAGATCTAAAAATTAAGT